AAGAAAAATGGGGTAACTCTCACGTCTCATCCAGCTAGCTCTGCTTGCTAGCATTACGTCAATGTACATCCTTGCGCAGGACGGCAACAACAAATTCCTAAAAAATACGCTGAGCCACATCCCTGACAGTGAAACTGTCCGCAAATGGCGCTAATCCTCCTTCCTCACCCTACACATTTCCATCCTTCGTCAATAACACGGTTTTAAAGAACAGAGTGCAAGAAAACACACACACGCAGACACACAACGGGTGAACAATTTGATTCACTAACCAGTAAGTCGCAATCTACACACAGCGCAGAGGAATCCAAAAGGGGGTTTCAAACACAGTTAGGTCGACTTATGCCAGAAAGCGCGGAGGCTTGAAGAATATCGCCATACGTTATAGTGCACCCGTTGTTCAAAAACATTAGGCAGGCGAATGCCTAAGTGTTTCCTGCACCATGATCATTGTACCCGGTCCATTTCTCTCTTTACGCTACTTGGGATTGGTTACATGTTTCAAACAGCGACTTCTAGAATTAGCAAGTCCCATGGATCTTTCACTGTTGATTTAAAATACAAGATATAGCTTCACAGCATCCGCATGTGCCCTGCCAATCATTTGGCGGATAAGCTAGTGTTGACACATCAGGTTTATTAGCCGGACCAGCCATGCATCCCCACAGTAAGCGTGCTATGAATATGTGCAAAATTCTTCGCCGACGCTAGCATTGTTGAAAACCTTTACTGCAGCTCAATGTTGAAGGAACACAATGGATATCTATTTCTACACAACCAATGCTACTTGCACATGCCTCCTGAAAAATGAGATACCGCTATCTGTAATCTAACGGATGATTTACAAGTTGCAATTAGATATTCAAAACTAAATCACAAGAAAAAAAAAAACAGAATGGATGACAAATTACAAAAACCACATCACATCTTGCCAAGTACATGTGATCTTACTCTATATTAGGTATGCAATTCTGCTGTGTGACCGATGTTTTAGGGAAAAAAATTGCAACCACATATCGGATGCTGATGGCTTTCATAAACGTCATCTTGTATGCGAGGAATCAGAAAAGTTTCTCTCGAGAATACATTTTAGCAACCTGAAAATGAGTTTTTTTTTTTTTAAAAAAACCTTTAGCTTAATAGGCTAAGGCATGAACGAACATGACTGAAGAATTCACGGCTCTTATCTCAATCTTCCACCATGCATAATTTTTTTTTTACAATAAAAATTTAGGCAAGTTGAGTTTGGAAGCTCTTCTAACATGCATAATTAATTAGTCAAATATATTTTTTTTCTTTACTATCTCAGATGATGAGGCTTGCTCAGGAGCTTTGTCATCCTAAACTCGACCCGGGTGAGGGAACCCAAGAGATATCCCTTTCATCAAGAAAGACACATGAATGAAAAGTAAGAGCAGCTAAATGATCAACCAATGATAACAGGTACAACACAAATCAGTACCAATGTATATTGTGTGTACCTTATCCGAATCTATTATGCCCACCACAGCAAGATGAACAGGGCTAATGGTCAACTCAGCTGCTTTCACCTCCCCCACCTAGCTGTAAGAAACAAAACGGTGCGTTCAAAAGTGATAACAAAAAGATTTGCATTAGCGAGGGTACTGCATTCAAGTGCTCTTGTCAATGTTTTTCTACTTGTTTTTTTTTTATTCTTGTTACTATTTGCTTTTAAATTATAAAAAAAGTGCTCTCGCCAATGTATTTTTTAAAATGTTAGATTTCTTCTTGTTATGCAAGGGACACTTCATAGAAGAAGTCTGAAACTAGCATCAACCCCAAGCAAATACTTCAAATTGCCCCAACACAGAGTAATTGTATCGCCACTTTTGTGCTTGTATATATGTCACCTCATCAGTGCCCGTGCTGCTGGGGTTCTTGATATTATTTTAAAAGAGTTTGCGAGGAAAAAAACTCCTATATATCCTGCAACTTTCCTTTAATTATTGATTCGGATTTGAACTTTGATCTAAAATAATTTAATCTTCATAATTTCTCTCATTATCCTATATATTATTATTTGTGTTTGAAAATATGGCACCAAGGACTCAGAAACCAGGAGACAATGTATCACCAAAATGGAGGACTTGATCATAACGTGGAATCACCACAGGATGAAGATGCTTTCGGATATTTCGCTTGAGCGAATTTTAGCGACAATTTTTTTGGGTAAAAACTTTTGATCTTGATAATTAAAAACAAACAAATAATAGAACTGACTGATAGGAAAAACGTTTTTGTCCTTTTGGTAATAAAAATTGCCTTAGATGAAGTGATTAACAGATTTTGGTGATATTGTTTCCTCGCAGAGCTGTCAGGAAAAACATATTGCTAGGTGAGTCGCAAGTGGCAAAGCAACACAGTGGTCTCACTCAGAGGCCGAATATAGGCTGAGGAAGTGGGCTTTGCGTGTGTTATTGAGCCCAGAAGCCCACGTGGTAGCCAGAGATGGCCTGTCATTCATGGATCCTTGCCTTGCAAGCAAAGGGCTTGACGAGCGTGGCCTGAGAAATGAACGTGCTGAATTTGAATCCGGCCCAATAAAAAAATAAAAAACCAAAAAAAAAACGGAAGAATTATAATTAAGTCCCACATAAAAAATAATAATTACTGTTAGTTTTAATTTTTTGGTGTGAGATTTCAATATAATTTTTTCAAAAAGAATTGGAAATCGGAAATGACACTTGGCTGATGCATAACACTGTGAGGAGAGGGAGAGAGAGGGGGAGCGAGAAGATAGAGGAGGAGAACAGAAGCATGTGAAGAGAGAGATTGAAGATTTTGCCATGGTCTTGTACTTTTGTCTTGTCTCTGCATCTGAGGTTATCCTGTTCCAGTTGGACCAGATTCCCTTCATCTCTTCTCTGCATGGGAAGCAGCTTCCGGCATTACAACACCACACCACCCCTTGTTACTCCTTTCATTACGCTCCCTCTCTTCCCAACATAAACTATACTGTCCATATATGATTTTTATATTATATATATATTTCTTCCATTTTAACGTTTAATTTTTGTGATTGTTAAAACATAAAAAATACAAGTTACGTATTGTTTTGAATATTCCTTGTTTTCCGATGGACCTTCTTAATCTGATTTAAAGCGTGAATATTTGCTCAAAGTCCACCTTAATTTGTGGTCAAAACTGGGCAGTAAATTGAGCTTAAATAATAGTAATAATAATAATAATAATAATAATAAGGCTTTGAAATTAATCCATGCGTAATGGATAACTGATCTGACGAGTGAGCTTCCCATTGTACATATCAGTGACCAAGAGGCTGATGTACATGCCCATGGAGAGGAGAGGGTTATCAATAATCACATAATCATCAGTGCAAATTATAGCAAGCTTCCCGAGCACAACGCCATGTCTAGGCACATAGTCGAACATGATAAGATCCCTAATCTCACATACGCGGACATGGTATAGGTCAAGAAGTGATTTAAACTTGAAAGAAAACTGAATGAACTTGAAAACTTGCATAATCAATTCACCATAAACAGACTAACTAAAGTTTGTTCAGTTTTAACTGAAAAGTCATATAAGCTTAGCTATCGGTGACGGGACTAGCTAGTTTATTTTCCACTATGCCTCTGACTTAACTAAAACATGCAGGAGGGAGATTGAACATCATAAATAAGAGACACGTCCTCATAATCTCTTACTTAAGAATAAATAAAAGGTAGAGCGAAGAGACGAGGCAGATGTGAAGCAGGAGTTGTATGTAATTCAGAAAAAGGAGGACGGCACGTGGAAGCATAAGCCCTGTGAAACGTCTCACACGCCCCATAACGTGTCACCCACATTCGTTTTAAAATGATTGTATTCAGCATATTTAACTCTAGTTCTAATCTGCATTGAACCCCAGCCTTCCTTGCTCTCATCTTGTTCTTGATTCTCTGCAGAAAAGAGACCAAGTCAAACATGATACAGAGATTCCATCATTTTCTGAATGTCAATGAAGGCCTGCAGTAGCCCACAACCGCAAAACAGGGTTCCTGCATGCACTACAGTACGTTGCTCATAGTCATGCTTATCACTCCTGTTACTTGCACATCGATCTCGAGCAAGAAGCTCCTAGATTGAAGGATATTCCCCCATTATTCTAACATGGTGATTCATCCTCTCTAATTTTATAATTTATCAACACCAACGTCATTATGTTCCCCCTTTGATTCCATTCACACCACAATACTATATTGATATACACTCCAATCCATGGGTCGTTATTACTATTTTATCCTCAAGTCCTATCCATCAGAAAGGGACCCCTTTAATTTTTTGTACAGGCCAACTAATATGTTCCCCTGTGTCTCTTCGTCACTTGCTTCTTTCTGTATATTTGATTTGGTGCTTCAGTTACTAACATTATGCAAATCTTCCATTACTTCTCTACACCAGATGCGCTGGAAGAAATTCCTGTGCTGACCACCAATTCATATGAACGTTATTTAGTCCTTGAATAACTAGCTATGCAATGGCTAGATACCTCTTGGTCCTCTCAAATGCAGAGACGCAGATGTCGGGTTCCTCATTAAAATATTCTCACTACTTCCGTATATAACACTCATATTTTTATACATCCTTGGATGTCAACATCGTTATGTCTTCGAATCTTCAAGTTGTTCGCATCTAATTTAACTGTTTAAATAAATACCAAATGTGGCATGACTAGATTTATGAGCACATAAGATTAATGATTGTATGAGACATGAAGAATCTTTTTCGTATTTTTCTTAATAGAAAAACTAGATGTTAGAATATTAGATGTGGCCAGGTGTCTGTGCACATAAATTTGAAAGAAAACATGCTTCTTCACTTAGTTAACCAACAGAAATAAAATAATCTGGCTTCAGCTAGTTAACAACTCTGGTATGAAGAAGGAGATGGACGCTATATTCCGTTCACACCAAAATTAAATATATTAATGATTTCAATCTTGTATATAACTGAATTAGACCTCTCGTTATCCCACCATGCTCAAAATGGATGCTCATGGAGACCCTCTGGTGCACATTAACGACTTCCAGCTTCATGACTTCATCGACAACACCAATTTCGATCAATTTATCAATGTGCTCCGTGGGGAGAATGAACACTCATTCTGTAACTTTGATTCTGACGTTATCAATGGCTGCTTAGCTGATAACCAATTTCTTCCATTACCTGAGAACCCATTTGAGCCTCATGCTGCTGTAAATGTTTATGATCCCAGCTCTACGCTTAGTTCCTTCTCATGTTTTGATGGAGAAGTGACGGGAGGAAGAGGAGAAGAAGAGAATGATTCTTCTGCAACAACAATCACCACCACTGAAACTACCAGTGCTAATGCCAAACAGAAGCCCAAAACTGATCGGTCCAAGACTCTTATCTCTGAAAGGAGGAGGAGGGGCAGAATGAAGGAGAAGCTTTACGCTTTGCGTTCTTTGGTCCCCAACATAACTAAGGTACGTTTCACGGCTACAAAGTAGATCTAAGGAAAATGTACTGTTTGGTGCTTAAAGGTCCTAGCTTCAGCCATATGCATGTCCTAATCTTGTTCTTATACGATGATGGGTCATTCAATTCTTGAAATTTGACAAATAATAGCCAGTTGAAAATTTTCCTCGACTGAAGGAAGGTAGGATTCTGGAATCTCTTGCATGTATCTTTCGCGAACGAAAAATTATAATATTCTAAAAACTACAAAAAGGGTCAGAAGCAATAAGATTAAACAAGTCAAAGTCATAAAATATATAGTTCCTTAATTTAAACAAGCCTCATGATGGCTCGTGAATCGTGAAACATCAAAGGTAATGCTATATGTTCAGGGCCAACTTATAGTTCCTTAATTAAAACAAGGCCTCACGCTGGGACGTAAATCGTGAAACATCGAAGGTAATGCTATATGTTCAGGGCCAACTTCTGTTACTATGCCATGCGACTATTTTGCTAGTCAACGCTTCTAATTCTCTCTATCACGTCTTGAGACTCTGCAAAGCTAATTTTGGCATTTGGGTGCATAGCATTTAGTTTCTACTATTGTTTCTGACATTATTTACATTTAAGAATTTACGAACGTGAAGTTAAATGTCTAAAGAGAATCTAGTTTATGTCAGTGAAGGTAAAGGCTAATTAAGCGTTAACTGGTACAAATATTTGCAGATGGATAAGGCCTCCATCGTGGGCGATGCTGTAGCATATGTGCAGGAGCTGCAAGAGAAAGCTAAGAAGCTGAAGGGTGAGGTTAAAGGGCTTGAAGCATCCATGCTAGCGTCAGAAAATGATCAGAGATCAGTTAAAATCCCCATGAAGGTTCAAAACAACCACATCAACTATCCAATCTGCAAGAAGATCATGCAGGTTTACTTGATTAAAACTTGATGAGATACTGTTATTTGGGCTCTTAAGACTTAAGTTGTAACATTTGGTTATATTGTTATATAGATGGACATATTTCCAGTGGAGGAAAGAGGGTTTTATGTGAAATTGATGTGCAGTAAAGGAGAAGGAGTGGCTACCTCCCTGTACAGGGCTCTCGAGTCCCTAGCAGGCTTCAATGTTCAGAATTCAAACTTGGCCACAGTTTCTGAGAGATTTCTACTAACATTTACATTAGATGTAAGCTTTTCTTTCGTTGTTATTTAATGATATCTTCAGCGTTCTGAATCTTACTTTTGTGTACGGATATAGTGATTGATATGTTAAAAACAGGTGAAAGGTTGCGAGCCAGAAATTAACCAGCAAAATCTGAAGCTGTGGGTAGCAAGCGCTCTTCTGAACCAAGGCTTCGAATTTATTACAACTTTCCACGCTTGATTCTGTTCTCCCTCCAGTTACATTGACTCTTTCATGGGCTTCTCTCTTCAAATCATGACAAGTGAACAATATTCATTACGCAGCATCGCATAACATTCAAAATAATATTTTCTATGTGTGATGTCCTCAGCTTATTTAAAAAAAAAAAAAACATGAACACCTTAATAATTTAACCGTGCTGTCCTTAAAAAGAACGATTTGGAGTTGATGACCAGGTGAAGAAACATTGTTTGTTATCTCTTTATCTCACAGAGTAGCAGATGTCTAGAAGGCATTTTCCGTGTGTGGTCCTAAGAATCTATCTTTAAAGAAAGGAAAAATGTGGGGACTATACTTGGTGGATAACATAGTAATTTTGTTATACTAAAAAAAAAGCTCCTCACTTTTGCAAGGAGAGCTTTCCATGCCCATTGATTTTCCTATCTTCATTTTGTGCCAAACGAGTCTAATATGTCGTTATTATTACTTTCGTTATGTAATAAATTTGGTAAGATCTGTACCATTTTTCTTGATTTTATAATTCAGTATCAAAACATTTCCTATCCTTTTCCAATTCATGGGCATGAGATGAAGATCAAGAGAAAATACAGCTCTTTCTTTCCTTCTTTCTAATACAAGGTCAAGATGTTAAGGGAAGAGGTTAAGAGACTTGGTCATGATTAACATAAGATCAATCACAACAGATTTCTAATTAACCAAGAAAAAATAAATCAATTATCTCGAATTCAACATCATTATCATAAATGTGATGAGTTTGCCGCTCTACAGGCATTGGCTTCTTTGAAGACATATTGAGTTGAAATAGTCCCATGGTGTCATAGGAGCTCCCTTATTATTATTTTTTTAAAGAAAAAAGTAGCTCTTTCCTGAACCCGAAATGGTTAATTAATTAATGTGAGTTTTGTAGACCGAGAGCTCCTGACCTTAAATTAAATAATAAATATTGAGAGGAAGGACGGTGAAGATCGTGATCATTCATCCAAACCATCATGTTTTTTTAATAAAGGTTGTTAGGAACGATTCCTTTTTTTTTTTACCAATGTGGCAATTCAAATGCTGATATTCTAGACCTTTTCTTCTCCCTTTTGGCAAATTGTAAATTTTGTAATGAATAACATTCATATTCAATGATTTAGTCTATATGCATTATTTTGAATCAAACGCACATTAATTAATTATGTATTTTCTCTCCTTAATTATTATTATACGTGCTCTATGCAAGACTGAATGGTGATAAGGGAAGAGCAAAAGTCTAATGAGCCACTGTTGATATTGATGTAACTGCAATAATGGTGTGTTTTCGTTGCATGTTTTTCTCAATCATGTGTTTCTATTTGTCATGATGAGTAGTAACCTCCATGAGCAGTTTCGCACACTACTTTGTTTCATGAATCGGACTTGTTCAGCTTCCAATTTGACCTGCTTTATTGATGATACATGAGGACACTGCTGATATTGAAGTAATTGCATCCTTTGTTGATGTGCTTTCATTTTTGTTGTCAGTGAACTCCATTGTTAGCAGTTGAAAGAAGTTTTGGACTTCCGCCATTTATTATTATTATTATTTTTATTATTATTTTATCGAAGCGGCTTTCATCCACTTATTGAGGGAAAAATTTGATGTCGCAACGTGATTTCAGTGATTTTTCCTCTTGGACTTCAAGATTTATTGTGATCAAGAAGACTAGATGAAATGGAAGCATGAGTTAGTGCAAGATGAAATGAAAGCATGCGCTGTCGCACTTCCGCTCACGTCATGTCCATTAAACCGAAAACGTCCCAAAGATAACTATAATCAATAAAAGCTAGTGTAACATTTGTAACCCTCCTTTTACTCGTCTGTTCCGTTCAGAGTCCTAGCAATATCAATAAGACTACTAGCTTTTGCTATGGCATTGCTCAATTTTGAATAAAAATTAAAATATCTCTTTTCATTTAGTTTCTGTACCACTAGTTTTTACAAAACTTTAAAATTTCATTATTTTTTAGTTTTAAATCTGTGAGTTGTGTCTTAGATCATGAACCATACGACGCTGTTTGCCAATCTCCTCCTCTAAGGTTTTGTACTTCTATTATGAATACCCTACATTGAAGCTATAAGTAAATTGATGTATTCTGATTATTTTTACACCATTTTCTCATGTGGTTTATATTCCAACATGAGCACACTCCTAATATCTACTGTTACTTGAATGTGTAGCTTGTATCCATTGAAGCAAAAGAACATGTATCACACACCTACATAAAATGATGGGTTGAGGCTCAGATCAAGGTAATGTTTGCAAGTGAAGATTTTATGTTATTCAATCTTCCAGTACATGCGGCCCAAAAAATGTAAAAATTACATATATTGTGCTCTTAGCATTCCAATAAATAATAATAATGCATATAAAGGATGTGGAGTAAGACTTATTCATATCATGGAAGGTATGAAGGTAAAAATCTCAATAATAATTAATAGAAAAGATTACTAGAGACAAGGCATGCAAAGACTCATGCTGTCACTTCTCACATTAAGTACTCAAGAATATGTTCTTATATTTACATTATAAATAGAGCCAGTAATATGGGTTTGACTTGCGGGCTCAACCTACTAACCACAAAAAAGTTGTGAGTTAGGTTAAAGAAAATGTGTTTGATTGTATGTGGGGTGGTTTTGACACATTTTGCATAATTTGAACCTACAACAAGCTAACTCATAGGTTGGTAGGTTAGCCCGATTATATTTTTCAAAAATAGATAAAAAATAAATAAATAAAATTGAGTTTAAAATAAAGTATTCAGCAAGCATACATGGAATTGCGATCTAAGTACTAAATACTTTTACATTTATTTAATTCAAGTTTAAACTATAGTAGGAAACAATAAAAACATACTGCTCATATATTTAACTAGTGATATAATATAATCTAAATGTGATCAAGACAAGATTGAATAAAGCATTTTATCATACTCTACTTTATCCATATAATAGATTATTTAAATTATCTTGTTTACAAAATAGTGCTACCCAATCTAGCAAATAAAAAAAAGTTTAGTTGCCCCTTTTATTTAAAAAATTAAACATATTTATGAAGTGCTAACCATATATTATATTATCATCTTAATTTGAACATAGAAGGAAAAAATATATACAAAAATATTAGAACATTTAGGTGGTATAAACTGAATGTATTGTAAGTAATAATCTAATAGTCAGAATTTAAATCATCATTATTTTTTTTTTCTAAAAAAAGAATTGATATTTTAAATTGAGGTATCAATTTTGTAGCAAAAAATGCCAAGACAAGATAAAGAGAAAAGGGAATAGATAGAGCATTTTTATTAATATATATATATATATACATATATACCAATCAATTATGTAAAAGACTAGAAAATAAAGGACTACAAAATTAAATTTATATTTAAGTGATAATATAAATATATCTTAATTAGAAAAAATTTTTATTGTTATTTGAATAATTAATTTTAAGGAAAATATATGATTTTTTTCCGTAAAAAAATAATAAAAAAGAAATAAATTTATAATTTTTAAAATTTTAACAATTTATTAAAAAATACTTTTTTATTTGCGGGTTGACAGAATTTAACCCGTACAAAATGCGACCTATGCTAACCTAAGCCACCAATTATAAGAAAGTTTGAATTCTCTATTCAATTTAGGAGTCTTTATGCTACACAACTTCGTATGGCTGCAAGGTGAAGCTTTCTGACAGCCAACACATTCCAAGGTCTGTCATATATCGTTTTCATTATTGCGTATTAGATCTATTTGCATAGTTTGATGAGGATTGGAATATTTGCTTAATTAGATGATGACTGAAAGGAGAAAGGAAAGTGACCTCTATATTCTTATTCTCCTATTTGTTCACAAGTGAATTCTTGATCAATTATTCCAGTATTGTCCATTCATGGTATCATTGACTTGGTGTATTTTTCCCTGGATACAAATTATGCAAATTCCTTTCGTACCCAGAAGAAAAAAATATACAAATTACTTTGCTAACTGATCAGGTTAGGATCTATACATGTAGTATGGATAGACACGGTGATGTGCTTAGTCCGACTAGCAATAAACACAGCATGCAACATTACCAAACAATAACCTAGAAGAAATTGACAGTAGTTATGAGGAATATTTCTTTAGCAAAACTTTAACAAGCATTTGTTAGCTTTCTTAAGCTTTTGAAATTGTGGATTTCTGCGTCCAGATTGGATTCGGACATCATACTTTTTTTTTTTTGGGTAACGATTCGGACATCATGCTTTACCTATCTTTATGGAACCTATATCGAAGCTTCCACGCAGGAATTAGCCAAAAGGATACACCTTATATCCTCTCACTCCTTATTTTCCATTGTGTTACTTATGCTGTAGGCCATAAACTATAGGACAGGTGTTGGCGACCAGTAGATAGTTGCCCAGTGGAAAACGCGAGAGAGAATGATGGAGCTTCTCGGCGTCAGCAGAGAGGACAGTGGATCACTGGCTCCAACTGTAACATAGGTAGGTTCCTAACTGCGTTTTTGTTGAAGCGTTAAATCTTGTGACGAGCCAAGAGGTAATGCAACGGACCACCCGTTTGGGATTTAGTTTCAGATGTCAGAAATATGCTTGTTAATCACTAGATGTCGCCCAAAGCATGAGGCATGTTGCTCTGCATAAAAAGTCCATTCTGAGTCCGTTTTGCTTTAAATCACCGCCACTCAAGGTCATAACAATCTAGCCGTACTGACCAAGGAATACAGACCCAGCAAGGCACTGATCCCTGTTTCTCGTGCGGTCTATTTTTCTCAAGTTTCTTGCATACGTTAAACACACCAGTCATGGTCTTGGCTCCTGACATCCTCAAACTAGACAAAGCCGCCTATCCACTCATCAGTCATCACGAAGGGCCTTTCTCCTGCAAGAAAACTGCCCCTTCATAGCAAGTCTACAGCAGTTAAAAAAAAAAAAAAACACACACACACACACACACACACAAAATTTAATGGCAAAGACGGAAACATTTATGGTAACTAAAATGGCCTTTCTCCTGCATAGCAGACATCATTATGAGATAACTAAAATGGCCTTTCTCTAAAGGACGAATCAAGCAAATCATCATGGAAATGACAACTCTTCATGAAGTCCAAGGTACGTGCTGAATCATGTCAATGTCGTTGTTTCGTAGTCATCCTATTTTGGAACTACGCCATTAAGTCAAGAAAAATGGTCATTTCCTTTTGCAACATTTATGGTCATTAAAGATAATACATTATCTTCCAAATCAATCGAGACAGCAATACTTGGACATATGCATATATCCATGAGTCAATATCTAAAAGGGCAGAGGAACATGCTAGAAAACCACTTACAAGGCTATGAGAAGCCACAACGTCCAAAACAGCATCAGACTAAGAGGCGAATTAGTAGGCATAAAGAATTCAAATACCTTGTAGAAACGCTGTCAAAGCCCGCTACAACTTAACCAATGAATGAATGCAAAGCTCAAGTCACAGTTTTTCCATTTAAGGCTCGGGAATTACAAGTGCTTCCTTGCTTTCTCTCTAGCCTCTTCTAGATGAAACTAAAAAGAATTGGAATAAGATTGGCAGGAAGAAAAATGCGTAGTTGCCCAAAAAAAAAAAATCTGACAGCATTGAAACAAAAACAAGGAAGATTTCAAGTATCATGACTGATCATCTCAAGAGGAAAGAAAAATCAAATCATTCTGCACATAACTTTGTACTATTAGCAGACATTTTGTATTCTTCAGAGATAAAAGCAGCCTGATACAGAATCTAGTTTATCTTAACAGGTCAATTTCCAACAAAGCTAAAATAGCAAGATCCATCCCTTTGCCCCTGTCTGTGGCAAAACAATATGTAAGCATAAAGGATTTCCTATCATTCTTTTACAGAAGACCAAACAATTTTCTGACAGGTTACCAAAAATTTATATGTGAACTACATGCTCTTGCATTTAAAAGACTGAACAAAATTTTGACTGAGAAGATGAGATAGTACTCTCGGCATATAATAAGTAACCGAAGCTCACCTGAGTTTTGGAGAAGCTGTTGACAACCTTGCCCAATTCACTCTTGCAAAGCCACTCTAAAATTAAATAATCTTCTAGTGTTTACCCAAAAAAAGGATAATAATCTTCTAGTGTTTTTGATACCCCTCATCATTGGTCCCCTTGGACAAGATCTTCAGTATTGAACCCTTGGTAATCCAGGCAGTCATTTCTGGCTGTTGTTCAAAGGGGTTAAGAGGATGCTTTCTTCCATCCTCCAGTTGCACACCATATACAAATGGTAGTTTAAGAGTAAGGAAACTCTGTGGTGGCAAAACCACTTGACATCCAAGGCCAAACTGCAATTTTTGTTCACGATCTGGGACTGATGGAGGCAGGCATGATGTCTACAATGACAAAATGCATATAGTGGACGGAATTACAAAAAATACAACCACTTTAAAATAATTGCAAAGTTCTAACAGTAATGCTGGAAGAAGTAAGCATGTAAAAACCAGATCCATTATTAAATGTTCCAGAACTAAATATCCCTTCCTAATTTAAGAACCCATTTCTCATGAAGGGCCAGTGCACACTGGTAAAGCAAGAAAAGCAAGAATTCTTGGTTACTTATTCTTTCACGAGTTAAAACAAGAACAACTGAATAACCTACCTCAACTCCTTAAAATTGGTACAAGCAATGTAAATTATTGTCGACTATAGTACAGTGCGCCCTTACACCATGGGCTCATGGTGCCATTGTGCATTTTGCAGAGGAATATTGCCATCACAGAGTAAGTGGATTGTTATAATTTTATAATGTTGAAATTAGTTAGTTAGGGTGATTTAGACGTTAGGTTAGCCGCTGGGTTCCTATAAGTCCTTATATAAAATCCTTGACGTCTGAATGTGAAGGCATGACAGATTAATAAACTCAGTTCTCGGTATCTCTTTTCTCTCTTCCTCTTCAACCTCTCGTCTCTCATTGTCTCTAAACCTTCATCTGTTCTTCTCTCCTCCTATTCTCTTTCTACATCGATTCTATTCTATTCTACTATTACAAACATATAACATGGATATGCCAATAGCTTAGGTGTCAATGACCAATAATTAAATTCCCTGTTAACTAGAGCCTGAAACATGATAGGACATAAACATTGAAAGGGAAAATGAGGAAAATCTTAAAATATATGTCACTCAAGAGTCAAGACACGAGATATGGTATCTATATGAGCAGGAAGCCAGGGAATATTCAAATATTTAGGGTTTCTGTTTGATTTAAAAAAAAAAGACAAAGAAATCCAGGAATTATCAGTGCAAAACAGAGAAAACACACTCTTGAGGGTGGAGAAAGAAGGAAAAAGAAAGCAGGACAAAGGCAACCAGAAGTGTCCACTCTTCTCAGAGCATGCCAAAATGGTTTATCTTAAGTCACAAATGAGGCCCAATTTGCCCAAAACACTAATGGTTTTTAGGTGCTCAGCTGTTTTTGATATTGCACATGTTATACTTGTGGTGCACATTGTAAAACTGAAGACACTGCACAAGGTTTATATGGAAAGGTCAATACAAGAGGGGTTTCATAGACCAACCCCATAGCCAGCAGCCCCACAATGGAAAATTTCATGTAATAATACAAACTTCAAGAAAATGTACATTAAAATAGAAGGACTTGCCTCAAATTGTACAATGGGACATGTTACTAATGTCACAGGAAACGCAGGTGTCACCTACAGCAATATCAATAGATCAGGTAGCTGATCTGATAATAACTAAAAGTACTGATGAACCGTAACATGTAAACAACAATGAATCTCGTCTGCACAAAAATGTAATATCTGATTGTCATTTTCATAACAATATGAGTGAAAAAGTAGAGTTCAAATGTCAAACTAAAAATGTAACATGCTATCAGCATAAGTAAATTTGCATGTTCTGTAGATTTATAAACACCAGACAACTGAATGAGTCAAACACAAACTCAGAAATTAGTACATTTTCCAGCGAAACTTAATTTATAGTACTCAATAATGTAAACTGAAACTTAAGAAAATGTTTATAAGACCAGCAACTCATACCAGAAAAATCCTTTTAAGCTGTGAGATAGTGCTGGCGAACTTAACTTTTGGTGGATCCTTCTTGTTCCTTGAAAGCCTGCAATGAGGACAGAACATGTAGACAGGCAAATTTCGATTCAACATGGAGAATGCAAGATCACCATCAGTCATGCTAATAGCTTCAAGATCCTCGCCAAGATCTTTTGGAAGATCAGAAGGTTTAGCCAACATTCTAACAGATGTCACATTTTGTTCCTTCTGTGGATGGGAAGCATACATCACTCCATCTGAACTTGAATCACCAATAGAAATAATTTCACATGATTTGTCCAGCTCCCTTTCCTTATTTGCTGACACAAAGCTTTGACGAGCTTTACCCCAGCGAGTATTCTTGTTTACTTTACTATGATCTTTCAGACTGCTGTGTCCAGGTTCAGCAGAAGTTATATGAGATTCTTCAGACAATGAGTATGAAGATCCAAGTTCAGCAAGATGTTCTGTATTTAACAGGAAACGATGCCCATGGGGGCATTCATGCTCAAATCCAACATATATTATTACATGCTTCAAAAAAGAATGAAAGTTTATTCTTTCACTATCATTCACATATACAGGAACTACATTGCTACCTATCTGCAAAAAGGGGTCACCTTCCCTGCAGTTATTAGCATTATTGCTATCAAGTGGTCCCTGAACAAGGGACATATCTAAGGATTTCTGAGACACCTCATGATCAACAGCAGCATTGACACGTTCCATACTCTGACTACTTGTCCTACTTTGATTCATACCCTTATCAGAACCTGATGTTGGCAATTTCCTCTGCTGAAGAGGGGGAAATCCTGAATCACCAGCAACTGATCCAGCAACGACCTCAGAAAAAGGTTTTCTCATTTTGACATTGGGAAGACCTCTACCAAAACTTATTTTTTTATCATCAGATTTCATATTATCTAAAGATGTTCTTCGGTCATCCACTTCATTCTGTATAGCAGGGTAGGACTGTACAATGCCAGTTGTCTTGGAATCTGGAATAAATTCAACCACTGGCGGCCTAGTCATAGAACCTTGCTTAACTATACTCTCTGTTGAACCATTTGGCACTTTCTGTTTCTCTGGATATATAGTCCATTTGAGAAGAAATTTTTGAGTGGCACAGAATCCACTTTGAAATAAGCCTTTAGAAGGTTCATAGTATCTTGCATCCCCAATCCGAAGCAAACTCCAAGAGGATGACTGAATAGGCTCTGTGACCCTGATTTCTGGAAGTTTGAGTGCGGGAAGTAGCTTATCACAGTCAGAGAAGCAACTAGCATCAGCTGATTCAAAGTCAAACAGATCAGGACATAATTGTCGTGATCGGCCACAAGCACAGGCACGAAGGAAAAAGTACCCACTGGAATGTGTCTTTAATGAATCAGATAAATCTGAATTACCAGTCTCAACACCATGTCGTTGGTGCATGCACGGCTTGCCTGTTAAACTAATAGCATCACATAATTGCCTCCCATTTTCCCAAATTAAAGTGCATTCCTGTTCTAACTTTTTTGCAAAATGTTGCACAGCAGGTCCTTTGACCATTGAGTAAAATGCATTCAAAGCATTATGCAAATGGGTTTCATGTTTTGAAGTAGGATAACAATCAGGCAAATCTTTCAAATAAATCTCCTTTGCAGCTGGAATGGCTCTTTGGCACCATGAAGTTGAAAACTTTGTAATGAGCCCTTCACCACTATGCAACCGAGATAATGTGACATCTAGAGGATCTGTAACCTTTGAAGATCCATCAGCTGTAGGTAAAACCGTGTTCCTTGGACGGGCTCTTCTTTTGATAGTTTCACATTCATCCAAGCAACAGCCTTTTGCACAGAGAATTTTACTCAAAATATGATGACTGGAAGATAACCAGACTTCAAAATTTGGAAGATCAGGAGTGGTAAATGTTTTCCCTGATGCAGCAGAGGCAGCCGCTGCAGCCGCTGCAACAGCAACCATACCAACACCAGCAGCTGAGCCACTATTGGTATTAACCAGCCCTCCTCTCCCTCTTAAAATATCAGACTGCCTGTAGATGAACTCTTTCACAGATATAATATCCTCTTTGCTAGCACTTTGACTATGGCTTTCCAGCAGCAGGGAATCAGAGTTTGTTTTCCCATTCAGGAAATCTTCAACAAGTCCAGTGGCAAACTCAAGAGATTCACCTCTTTGATTTGAAAATTGATCTAGCAAAACAACTGCCTTTGATGCATCAAGTGAAAATAAAGGAGCAGAAGTTGAACTACCTCCAGTTCTCATGCTAGAATAACTTGATTCAGAACCTGATAGTATACGGCATTTCTTAATCAGAAATCGAATTTGAGCTTCAAGGGAAGACTGTAGTTTTCTCCTGAATCCACATTCAGATCGACTTGCAGGGCGTGCCAGCACAACTACCGAACCAGAACCTTTAGCAGGCAAGTTTGTCTTGGCTACGCCACTCAAATTAGAAGACTGATTAAGTGAGAAGGAATCTGAAGAGTCCTCCCCATTACTGTTAGGATTTGGTAAATTGGAGAATTCATCAATGAAAACAAACAATGTAACAGGTATGCATTGTCCTGGAAACAAAGAAGTATAAGAACCTAGACCAGACATGAGAGAAATGGCTGAGGCATTGCGGCCTGAAATAACACCACCTCTACCTGGAGAAGAATTGTTTGCTGAAGTGCTGGTTCGCGAAAATGATGAGGAATATGGTCTACAGGACATGTTCGTTGTAGTCTGGGATCTTACAATTGGAAACATAGCATGCTTGGCTGCTTGTAGCACACGAAAGTTACTCAAAATCTTGGTACCAAAGTGTGATCCCTCCTGAATATATATTAAAACATGGCAAACCTGCATTTCTAGGTTGTCAATTACACCTAGTATATACAAATTTCTTGTTGAAAGAGCACTAAACATGCACTGAGCTATATATTAAGAACCTAAAATACTAAGAGTTTCTAACCCATCACACCCAATAGGACAATCGTGTCTTCTTTCTGTAACTGATCTTCTGATATTAAAATGTAATACTTCCTCATAACAAACAAGTTGACAGACAACATAAGGAATAAGCAAGATTTATTCGTACAGTAAGCTTTGAAACTAAATAAATCAAGTGAGTTATCACCATCTTATTGCAGTCAAATCAAATAATTCTTAAGCCTGATTCTGTTGAGATGATTCACTATAAGCATAAGCATTTGTTTTGCTTATCCCCAATTTATTTCTGGTCTTAATTCCTCCATGATTTTGCTACTTGAGACTTCTTACTCTTTGCACAGCAGCATTTTTGCATCGTCAAATTGCATATAGTTAGAATAACTGAGAGACTGAAACCACCCTACCTCAACTTTATTTTCATCAAGTATTTTCTGGTGATACAGTACATTCAACTCTACAGTTCACCCCTCTTCATAATAAGCATTGTAAGATATGACAGACACAAAAATTTGATTGTTATGCTTCAAACCGTAATTTTAAATTTAGATTAATATAAAAACATATAATTGCTCATCCACATAGATGCAGTTTTCGCATCGTCAAATTGGATATAGTTAGAATAACTGAGAGACTGAAACCACCCTACCTCAACTTTATTTTCATCAAGTATTTTCTGGTGATACAGTACATTCAACTCTACAGTTCACCCCTCTTCATAATAAGCATTGTAAGATATGACAGACACAAAAATTTGATTGTTATGCTTCAAACTGTAATTTTAAATTTAGATTAATATAAAAACATATAATTGCTCATCCACATAGATGCAGTTTTCGCATCGTCAAATTGCATATAGTTAGAATAACTGAGAGACTGAAACCACCCTACCTCAACTTTATTTTCATCAAGTATTTTCTGGTGATACAGTACATTCAACTCTACAGTTCACCCCTCTTCATAATAAGCATTGTAAGATATGAAAGACACAAAAATTTGATTGTTATGCTTCAAACCGTAATTTTAAATTTAGATTAATATAAAAACATATAATTGCTCATCCACATAGATGCAGCTCAATGAAAGAACTGCATCTATGTGGATGAGCAATGATATGTTTTGAAATTCGATCTTACTGGACTCAGCTTATCCTTTATTACATAAAAGAGATTGACTCCGCAGATCTTGCTAGATTTAATGTAAGACCCTCTTGACTCGTAATTTCTATGTATATGAACTTCTTCACCTAATCACATTTTAGATCAACACCAACCTCAAAAGTTGTTTGATATGTTATCCATGTCAGTTCCTTGAGATGACAACTTTAATCAACACTCCAGAACTTTAGTTATCATACTCTTAAGTAACGCTAATCAAAAGTCGAAGATTGAGCTCCTGATATCTTAATAGATCCATATGATACCTAGATAAAATCAGACTTATAAAGCCAAGAACATGCCATGTAAGAATGACTTACAGAGAACATAAAAAGCATTCCCTGGAGGTCTCCGAACTCGTGCTCTTCCACCACGGAATCAAATCCCGAAGACGGCTCAGAAAAGCCGTCAATGGCCGGGCACCTAGTGGAACAGAATTGCAAATATAATATCCCCTTTTCGTCATCATGGTAATAACTAATTCTCCTCCACTTAAACCAGTCTCTGGCTTCCTCTTCGTCAACGAATAATCGTTTATCAAGATTGCCCGAGCCGAACACATTGAAGTCGATAACTCGGTTAATGAGCTGGGTGGAATCATCGGGTCTCCGGGAAATGAAGCCAACAACCACCACACCATCGGAAGAGCGAGATAGTGATGGGGAAGCAGAGGAGGAGGAGGAAGGTGTTGCAGAAGAGGAGGAAGAATGATCTGAGGAGGGAATGGGGTTGGGGAGAGGGGGAGGCGGAGGTAGAGAAGGAGAAGAAGTGGTGGGAGGGTTGGGAGAAGGAGGAGGGCGTATGAGGACTCGAACTTGGGAGGGTTTTGGTGCGTCCATGAGCACTGAGGAGATAAATGAGGTCTTTCAGTTCGCGTCAGGTCTGAATCACCAAACCTCAGCGCTCTCCCCGTTAAAGCAGCGACAACCCCCTATTGAGTAAATAAATGAGCAGCAAAACAATTTTTTATCGTAATTTTTTTTAATTTAATTATTTGAAGCAGGATAACTTAATTCCTAAAATATACCTTATTTTTTTAATTTTATATAAAATTTTATTTTAATCATTTAATTTTGTAAAATATAATTTCAGTTCCTTTAACTCTAGGACCATAAATTTTTACATGAAACTTTTATGTATTAACAAAAGTTTAATTTTTTTAAAAAATAACAATAATTAATATAAAAATAGTCATTTAAAATTAATAGCGTTAGAGTTAAAAAACTGAAAAAATATTTTATAAAATTAAATAACTAAAATAAAATTTTATATAAAATAAAAGGATCAAAAATATATTTTAACCTATCTCATTTGTTATGAAAAATGGTTAAACTGGCAGTATAATACCGTTTATGGGTCTTTAATAAAAATTATTAAATTCCAATGTATAGAAAAAGTTATAGTTTTGAAACTCATGGCTTTTTTAATGAGGTCAAACATACAGGTAGCATTTTGAATGGACTTTTTTAGACTTGGATTTAAATTCAAAATCTTATATTTAAAATACTTAGGAATATAAAAAAATCACTCCAATAATAATCAAATATCTCTACTACATAACCCAAGTAATTTCTACATAGAGGTGTTCATGGAGCCTAGTTGCCCAAGATTCTTACCCAAACTCGATGAAATTTTGCCTAGCCTAACCCTTAAAAAAGCAGCCTGACATGATTTGGGTATGTTCAGGTAAGGCCAGGCAATGGGCAAGATATGCTACCCTACTAAAGATATATGTTTTATAGATATTTTAAATTCTTTAAGGTTTTGAATCTTACTAAAGAGTAAGGTAGGATTATACTTTTTATTTTTAGGTTAACTTTTTGTGTCCACACTCTCTTAGCCCTAGTCATTACTCTCTAGTTTCTATACTCTCCCCTCTCAACCTTGATGCCTCACTTGTTCTCATCTTCGCTATGATTGTTGTCATTCTCCTTACACACATTATCGTCGCCATCATTCTCCTCTCTCCCTTCTTCCTTTTGCATATTGCTCCCAGTCATTCTCCTCGCCATTAGTCTCTACTTTTCGTAAGAGACAATGCTGACGACGTCAACTCTACCTTTGCATGTTGCTCGATTGTATTTGTATGTTTACTAATAATTTTTTAAGAGATATGAGCTTTAGCATGCAAATGAAGTTTGATAAGTATTAGGGTCAAGCAGGTAATATGAATCTATTGTTGATTATGGCTATAATTTTGAACCTCGATATAAATTAGTTTATATAAATCATATGTTTGAACTCCTTTTCATTGACCTTAAAGAATGTGTAGTTATGAAGGATAAGTTCAAAACTTATTTGTATCAATTGCTTGAAGAGTACTCTATAGGGGTTTCTATTGAATTAGGGTCTACCTATTCAAGTAATGAATTTACAAGTTCATTAGCCCGCTCTTGATGCTGGTGATCATATTGATGATCTAGGTGTAACGTGGTTAGAGTCTTTAAAACAAAGAACTTCAATGGATCCACAAAATAAGTTAGATGGATATTTTACAAATGATTCAAGAGATGAGATCCCATCATCTCATTATAGGTTTGACATATTATCATGGTAGAGAGGAAAATTTGAGAAATATAAACTTATCTCCCACATGGCATAAGATATATTGGCTATGTCAGTTTCTACAATGGCTTCTAAGTTTGCATCTAGTACTAATGGATGTGTAGTTGATCATTATAAGAGCTTCTTATCTCTTAAAATGACAAAAGCACTAATTTGTGGGCAAAATTGGTTGCAAAGTGGCCAATCTCTCTTTAAGTTGTTGACAAGCTTTGTGAGTTTAATAACTTTGATGACATAGAACATATCATTTAGCTTGCAAGTAATATTTTTATCTAAAGTTTAATCATTCTATCTCTCTTACACACATCTTACTTTGTTATCTATATTAATGTAATTGATATTTTTTAGATGCAATGCTTAGAAGGGAGAGTGCAACTACTAGTGTTGATTGAAAGGTTTTATTTACAAGTAGAATTCTTGCTGCATTTATTTGTTTTTAGTTTGTTTCTGTGATATGTTAATTTATATTTGTTTTTTGTTTTTCCCCTATATATGCTCCACCCTTTTATAAACTTATATGTTGCCTTATTGGAGTTAGAAGTTATTTTTGAAATATGTTGTTTTAATGTTTTTAATAGATTCTAGATGTTCAATGTTATTTTGGGTTGAATTATGGATTATGGATATTGTGCTGTCCTAACATGTATGTTCAATGTGGATTTATGAGCATGGATGCTAATCATGTTATATTTTGAATTTATGGATTCTAAATATTTATAGATATTGTGGTGTCTTAAGATTCACAAGACTAGAGACTAAATGTGTGGCAGATTATGTGCCTGATGTATCTTTTTAAGGACGTGTAGTTAATTTTTAAGTCTCATTATCATTCATTGCTTTATTTTTATTATTTGATATTATATATTTTTATAAAGATTAATATACTTATTTTTCTTTCTTTATGTTTATATATTTGATGTCATCTTTATTTTATTTTTTATTCCTCCATTAAATTAATACTATATATATACATATTATACAATAAAGAATTATCCATCTTGGGTGCTAGACGTTGAAATTTACCTAGACGCCAAAGGTCTAAGACAAGCAATTTTACCTGGAAATGAAGCAAGTAGTCAAAATAAGGTTAAGGTAATCATATTCCTTCATCATCGTCTTCATAAAGGGTTAAAAGCTAAGTATCTAATGATAAAAGATCCACTAGAATTGTAGAATAATTTGAAAGAAAGGTATGACCACCAGAAAGGTAATCATACCTAAAGTTTGTTATGAATGGATACAAGTGAGCTTGTGAGATTTTAAAATTGTAAATGAACATGATTCGGCAGTTTTTAAAATAAATTATCAGTTGAAATTATGTGGTGAGAAAATAAATGATAAGAACTTATTAGAGAAGATATTTTCAACTTTTCACGCTTTAAATGTGCTCCTATAACGGTAATACTCTGATAAAGGTTTTAAAAAGTATTTTGAATTAATTTCATGTCTTCTTGTGGCTAAACAAAATAAAGAACTATTGATAAAAAATCATAAAATCTATTTTACTGGATTAGCTCCATTCCTTAAAGCAAATGTGACTATATGTGGTAATTACTATGATCGTAATTATGATAGCAATCACAACTGTAGGCATGGTCATAGCAGGGGACATGCTAATTACCATTATCATGACGATGGTGGTACTAATTACAATCCTAATACCTACCAAAAGAAGAAAAATAATGAAGGGCATAAAAGGAATAAGAGTAGTCCTTCAAAAACTATTAAAAATTAATGCTATTTGTGTGGTATGGAGGGGCATTGGTTACGTACCTATTGTACGCCCAACCATTTTGCAAAGCTTTATTAAGCCTCCATCAAAAGGAGTCCAAATAATGTGGAAGAAAATTTTACTTTTCAAAACGCTAATATTGAGGCAAATCTTGTATACAAAAATGATGATATCAATGAGTTGAACAATATTAATGACCTTAATGCTATGACACATTTGAAAATGGCTGATTTCTTTAGCAATTAGGATTAGATAAGTTTGATTGAAAAATAATTAAAACAATTTGGATCATGTTTTTGAATCATGTTTCATTTTTGTTTCCATTTAGCTTTCTTGTTTTCTTATAATAAATGTATTATCACTTGGAATAAATTTCATTAAGTATTCATTTTAATACACTTTCTTTCTTTATTGAAGGATATGGAGATTTTCCTTTCTTTCATTGGACACAATATTGAAGATATATATCTTGTAGATAGTGCTACAATGCATATCACATTGAAAGATAAAAAATATTTTACTTATTTAACAATAAGGAATGGAAGCATCAATACTATAGTAAGTAACACTAAATTACTTGATGGCTTTGAGAGAGCAATTATAGTATAATCCAACAAAACAAAATTTATTATAAGTGATGCATTATATTCATCTAAATCTCAAAAAATTTATTAAGTTTTAAAGATATCTTCCAAAATGGGTATTATATTGAGACTACAAATGAGAAAAATGTTGAATATCCGCATATTATATTTTAGATCTAGAAAGAAATGTATTTTAAAAAAGTTATCCATGTTATCTTTTGATTTGTACTATACAAATATTAGTACAATTGGAATAAATGCAATAGTCAACAAGAAGTTTACCAATCAAAATACATTTATCATTTAACATGACTAGTTAGGCTATCTCAGGTCAAATGTGATGTCAAAAATTATTGAAAATTTACATGGACATCCATTGAAAAATCAAAAGAATTTTCAATTTAAGAATTTTTTGTATGCTACTTGTTCTTAAGGAAAATTAACTAGAAGAACTTTAATTACAAATGGGAACTGAATCCCTTGATTTTCTTGAACTTAACCAAGGGAATATATATGGACCTATTCATCTACTATGTGGACCATTTAGATGTTTTATGATTTTAATAAATGCATTTACGAGATGGTCATATATATGTTTGTTATCTATATGTAATTTAGCATTTGCTAGATTACTTGCTCAAATAATTCCATTGATAGCACAGTTTCTAAATTATGCAATTAAGACAATTTGTCTTGATAATGCAAATGACTTTTCATCATAAATTTTTTATGATTATTAAATATCAATTGGAATAACAATTGAAAAATCTATTGCTCATGTTCATACTTAAAATGGTATAGCAGAATCATTTATTAAGCACCTCCAATTAATGGCTAGACCAATACTCTTGAGAACAAAACTTCTTGTTTTAGCATAGGGACATGTGATTTTTTAGGCAATAGCACTTGTGTGCATTAGGCCAACAAGTCATTGTAAATTTTTTCCATTACAATTGGCTTTTGGTCAGGAGTCAAATATTTCTCATCTTAGAATTTTTGAATATCTAGTATTTGTT